TCAATGAATGAGCAGGTATGTCACCACGGATTGTTAAAGCAAGTAAGTGCCCGTTCGGAATTGCGAGGTTGCAGAAGCGAAGAGCAATCGATATACATACGTATATTAAAATGAAATGAAAAGAAATAAAAAGAAATTTTCAATTAAAACCCAAATTATAATTAAAATGAATAATTTTGAATAATACTAAAATGCTAAGAAATAAAAATAATGGTCTAAAGTGTAGGCGGTCAATGTAAAATATTACATTTGATAAATGGCAATAAAAGGTCCCTGAATATTTACATATGAACTTAGCTTCCATATGTTAAGAGGTATTCTCGCAGAAGTTCATGAATTTATCTGTTCGATTTATATGTAAAGCTTTTCCTCGGCGTAAAACAAATTATAATTTATACAAATGTATGTCGATCTCAGCATATATATACATTTATCAAACAACATGGTGGCAAACTATTCGAGAAAATTTGCGTATAAGTTGCATTGACTCAAGAATTGCAGCCGCAGAGCTTTCAATGAAAGGTCTTCTGTACATAAAATAAAATCTACTTAATAGGTGAGTTTGTACAATACTTCCATTTTCATTTCCGATGCCGTGATTATTATGTAAGGAAAACTATGGATTCAGCCAAAGAGAAGAAAACAATAAATTTTGCAGGTGATCTTTAAAATTTGATGGTTTTCATACATGGACTTGAGTTTGATCGGTCAGTTGTATGGCAGCTACATATATGCTAAAGTGGTTCGATCTGAGCAATTTTTTCAGACATTGTACTTTGAGCCATAATCCATACGTATATACAGACAGACGGACATGGTTGAATCAATTTAGCTTCTCACGGTGGTATTACTATTGAAGGCTGGGATCTAAAAGCAAGGAAGGGCTAAGTTCGGGAGTAGCCGAACATTTCATACTCTTGCAACTTGCAAGGATCAAAGGCGCTGACAAAACGTCATATTAAAAAATGTTGCGATAGAATTCAACATTCATTATTCAATGAAATCGTGAATGAATTACAATCAAATTTAGTACTTTATTAAAATATACGAGGTTATGGATCATAGACTCAAGAGGATAAATTTAACATATTGAGTTGATGTGCAAAACGTTAACCAGAAGATCAGATGATATTATTGCTCAGATAAATAATGTATTTATGTAATAAGGTTTGTTAGAAGAAATTATTATTTATTATTATATGTATATTATATATATATAATATATTATATTGTATTTATTTAGCTGAGCAAAGTTACATAATTTCACATATTTTCACCACTAAACTAAAGTACATCCAATATTATACGGTCAGTTAATTTTGTTAAGTTATCTTATATATAAGGCATAAGTTTGAAAATCGTTTATTAAGTATATGGAAGATTGGTGTAGTATTGACCCAATTTTATCCATATTGGCATTACTACATATTATTGACAGAAATACTTGTAGATGCTCTCTGAGCTTCATTAAGATAAGATGGGACAAGTTTTTAACCGGTTTTGTCAATTTTAGGTACAGCGATCCACCGTTAGAAGAAAAACACGCTCTCTCAATTTATTTACTTAATTATATAGTTGTATATGATATATCAATTGGTGCTTGCCTACTACCCCTTCAGAAATCTGAAACAATCCCTTCGTGGAAAGCGTTTTTCGTCGAATGAAGAAGCTATTACAGCCGGGCATAAAATTATTGGAGAACCATTGAAATAAGTATATTGAAGTTAATGGAGATTATATTGAACAAAAAATAAAATAAAATTCGTACAAAATAAACCTTTCAACCAACCTGTAATGCTACCTACAGAATTTGGTTGAAAACGGTCGAGTAGGTCCCGAAATATTTAAATGCGGATGGTGCCACGCCATCGAAAGCGGCTTCCATATCGCCCTTTGGTATCGTTTCGTGTGTAAAATTTTATGTTTCTGACGCATTTAGTTATTGATTTATCGCACTTTTAATAGTTTTTAACAAAACCGTTATATGGGGAGTGAGCGTGGTTATCATCCATAATCACTTTTTAATCATTTTCAAACTACAGGCGCCCCTCGTTATCGCGATGCGGATGTGGTTAGACGGATGGACAAATGGATGGACGGACAGACAGTCACCCGGAGTTCAACTCGTCTCGTCATCCTGATCCTTTATATTTTTAACACTCCATACCTATCGCGATTAGTTTTGGGTGATACAAACATATTAAAAATTTTATGGTAAAATCATAAAAACAGAATTCGTCCTAATATTGCATTTTGCTATATTCTCTTAAGGGGTATCCCTAGCGTGAAATTTTGAAAAATCGACAATAACATACTAAAATTTGAAATCGATATCTCAAATAGTTCAACCACTTTCTCGAAACAGGATTTTACAAATTTGAAACAGGAGTTTACAAATTTGCTGAAGTGATAACTCGAAGACAAATGAGCCGATCATCATGGAATTCTATTTTCTGTATATAACCTGTTCTATATATAATTCTACATACAATGACCTATCGGTTTTTTGATATGATCCACTATCGAATTTTGGCAGGCCAAAAACTACCAAAATTTGGCGTAAAATTAAACTTTTTTTGTAAACACCGCCATTGTGTCAATTTTTAATTTTTTTATAGGGTTTGACTTGTACGGAAAATATTTTATAGTTTAACGAGGTTTTTTCATTTTGAGGTTTCATTCACGGAGAAGGCCGGAATTACTTCAGCAGTCGATGATCTTTATTTTTAGTCTAAGATCTCGTATCACTCAAACTAAAATATTTGTTTTAAATTTTACTGCGCATTCTTAAAACATTTTTAAATATACCCTAAAATTTCAAAACAATCGATACAGTAGGTTTTTTTAACTTTAATTCCCAAAAATCGACATTTTTTTAGCCTGTCACACAGTGGGCACATCCTGGCGCTCTCAGGTTAATACCTAGCATCAGAAAGAATAAGAGTGTTAAACTGTGGTTATCGTGTAAAACTGTATTCCGATATAAAACATCTTGAATACCTTTTTTTCAATATCAATATTACTTAGACAGCTGGTAGAACAGTAGAAAATACCATAGTGCTTCTGGTAGTGTAGTTTATAACCCCTCCATTTTGCATTTCCCTGCCATCTCCCGAAATTATGCTTCGTTTTCATGAAATAATTCAATAATGTGATTTTAATGAACTGTATTAACAAACTACTAAGTTAAAAGTTTAAATTAAACTTTTGTTGTACATACATACATACAATACAAATAAAAAACTGAAGGGTTCAAATATTAAATAAAAAAGCAAACATTCGAAAATATATATTGCAATGAAGACATAAAATATGTGGGTTGTATATCAGGGTTGCAAGTAATACATTAAAAAATATTTGAGTTAATTTTTATTTTATTTCTTAATTTCATATTTGGGATTATAAAATTAAAAAAATTTAAACAGAAATACGGAAAATGATTGAAAATCTAATATTTAATCTAAAATTTTTGAATTAAAAAATTCGCAATCCTGCTGTAGATGATTATTATTAAAACGTTTGCAGAAAGTGTTTTGTTATTTTATTGTTTAAGAAGTAAGCATTAGAACGCTTGCTTATAGTACATATTTCTGGAATAAGCAAACCTAATATATTTAATTTAGAGCAACGTAAGATAAACTCCTAACATTGCATACAGCTTCTCCTATGTCCTGTCATTATCACCAAAATCTAGAAAGAGAACACAACAAGCCTAACGGTAGTCCTTTATCGTTTAATTAACCACATCGGGCCAATTTGCTGTTTTAGTACTGTCTTCATTGTCCAAATATTAGTTATGTTATGTTAACTATTTTTGTTTCTTCCTAATTTCAGAAAATGTATATGGTACATCAATCCAATAAACTAATTTTCAAGATTCTGAGTATAGGAGAGCGGTACGATATGTAGTACTTTGCCTATAACAGAAAATAGAATATATTAGAAAAGTGGTGACCCATTTCTCAACATAGTGTCTGTTTAGCTTTATACAGTTGATCCGTCGATGCTCTAACTTCTTTAACCCGTCTTAAAGGTACGTTTTCTGCAGGTCCGGTGAGAAGCCTTTATATGTTTCTTAACAGAAAGAAGTTGTACGAAGAACATTTTTTTATTGTTAGATTAAATGGGGTTAAAAATCTACGATAGTAATATATTGTGCAATTTAATGAAAAAAATAAACCGAACGAAGCTTCCCTGAGGTATGAAACAAACTGCACAAAAAAATTCCAATTGAGTTTTTATTCGATTCTTGATGGTAAAGAGTTATGAAAGAGGATGGCAAGTTATAAAAGCATATGAGGATTTCAAAGTCGTGTCCAGAGGTAGTATACACTTAAAGTTTTGCGATTATGAGTGTAATTTGGGCTCCAAGAAAAATTTACTTAATTAAAGTTCAATTGAAAAAAAAACTATTGGTTTGGCAAATAACTCACAAGTATAATAGTTCATAGAGTTCTAGGCACCATAATGATAACCTCGAGATTAAGTTCAGTAAACGGGGGTTAGGGGCCGAAGTCTGTGTGTAAAATATGTGGAGTATGAATAACCGTTTAAAACACAGATTTTTTCTCAGCTGCTGCTTGGCATTTATGCTGTTGAATGTGATCGGCATTGAAATATAAGAAAGCATTTCAAAATTAAAACAAAGTTGAATAATAAACGTAGCACGAAAGAAGTTTTGGGAATTATGCGCCTGCATTTATAAATATATATGTACTTTTGTACAAATAAGTTCACATATTCACACCTTCACAGGAGGCCATGCAGTTTCTGGCTGTGTATTTGAGGGTAGGGAAGGGAGTTCAAGATGAGAGTAAGGTAATAGTAAAGTTATCATTATGTATAGTACTCAAGGATGCCACATTTGTGCGCGTGTTAACATATGTATGCGAATGCAGTATGTATGTGGGTATCGTTTGAGTAGTACTTGGAAGTTCTTGCCATAAATGCCGTGTCTGTGGGTGCACTTTTGGAAATTTTAAACTCGTGCTTGTACTCACCAGCAGGGTAAGGCAAACCGAAGCTTGGATATCCCGAATAACCACGTCCGGCTGCATAGGCTGCATAGGCGGCTGCCGGAAATCCTGTTAAAATGAAGAACAAAATAAATTATGCAACATTGTTTGAGCAAAGGCAAGCAAATATACGCTTATAAATGTACAAGTTGAAGTTGAAATAAAGAATAAACACGAGATTAAGTATTATTTTGAGTTGCATGACCGTGTGGAAAAGTAAAACAAGAAGCAATCAAAGTTTATGCAAGCAATTGAATTATCATCAAGATTTCCAGAAGCTCTCCCTTTCTAAGATATTTGTGGCTTTGTCGAGCACAAATTGCAATGAGTTGCGGTTGTTATGCACACATAAGCAGCTGCATTTACATATTCATAAGTATGTTTTTACATATTTGAGCTCGATTTGAAGAGAGTCTACGACACTGAAAAGAGCAACAACCAAGGCATGAACCAGAGTACATATGTATAACTACATTTTGCATGCTGATGATTTTGAGCGTTTTCTTCCGGTTTCCGTTTGCCGAAATGTGCCATTTGCATTACTTTGATTGTAAATAATTAACTGCATGGGAAATTACCAGTCCGGTTTTCATAAGGCTTCGCATACATAAGTTCAATATGTTAAATAAGGTCTACGGTTTAAGCATTCACTGACTCAAATGTGCGTGCCGTGCCATTTCGTAGATAACTGTATATATTTGTAAATGCAAAGCAAATTTAAGTCAAGAACCAACGGAAGACATTTTGGAAACTAATGTGCAGTTCCTCAACAACAGAAAGACATTTTGCTTTAATGCATGCAATATCGAGAATGGCTCCGGACATATTTATTAATTGTTTTCAAATATGCTTATTGAGACGTATGCGTCAGTAAATGCGGTACAATGGCTGCAATTAAAGTCCCATTACTTAGCCTTTTGAGTCGGTAGAAAATTTGATGCAAACGCTCGCTGAAGGCGGGCAAGTAAAGCTGATTTTGCAAAAACCGAAATTAATACATAAAAAATAGAGGAGTATAATCGACTGAATACTATTTAACAATTCGACTTCAAAGATTTAAGAGCAGAATTAATATTGCAATGGTTATAGACAGGGTCTATTTTGGGTCAGAACCAGTTCTATCCTCGGTGGGTAACCAAATGGCCTGAGCTTATGGAAAATGGTGGAAATAATTATTTTCGTAAGTCTTGCTAAAAGTCAGCATGACGATTATGAATGATTTTTAAAGTGACTTAGTTATTTAGGCGTTAAGAGTCTTATCAATATAGTAATATAATTTAAATTTGAAAATAGGAGGAATAGTTTGTAGTTATGACTGTTTAATTCGTATTTTAATAATTATCACGAGCTTTCCTCTCATTGGGAAAGGAATTTCTGAGTTAGTTAGATACAAACAAGTAAGGAAGGCTAAATTCGGGTGTAACCGAACATTTTATACTTTCACAATTCGCAAGGATCTAAACTAATCATATTGGGTACATCAGCAAGAGGTCAACCGGAGAATTGGTACTCTTTATATTAGGTCTATTGGATTTAGACCAATTTCATTCTTATTCAGCGCTAAACCACATTATTTTTAGGAAAAGTTGTCCACTCAATTTCTTTAACTTATCCGACATATTGGCCAACATAAATAGTGTAAAGCCTGGTGGAAAGTCGGCAATCCCTATATCGGGTATATTGGGGCTAGGGGCTGGACATATTGCACTAACATTTAGTGGTAGTTAAGTATACTCGAGGACATGTTTTCACGCAATTTGACGCATTTAACTCACACTCACCGACATGCGCACTCGTATGCGCTTTTATGTGTGCTTATTCAAAGTATACATTTCATATTCGGAATGAAGTCTGCTAGTTCGAAATTCTAATAATTTTGATCTGATTTTATCAGTTCTTGGCAATACTACATATCATTACCAAAGAAAGATGATCCTAAAGTTTCATTAAGATACCTCATAATGAAATTAAGAGTCAACCGGAAGTTCGAAAATTATTTATATTAAGAACAAGGGGTCTAGTGGCAATTGACCCAATTTTACCCCTTTTTGGCACACGAACACACTATTATTAGGAAAGCATATCTCTATATTCTAATAATATATTTTACAGATTGATCGATTTTAGATGAAAAGTCAGTCATAGGTGCGATTAATAATAAAAAATAAGAAATTAATGTTATGCACGATTTTTAGTTGAAATTGGTGAAGATATGATATGAGGTATAGCATTTCACATAACCGTGCGTGGTACCCCGCCCATTGACCAATTTTGACTTCGGCTCCTCTGATCGTAGATGTAATGCTTCTGACGTATTTCTTTAATGGGTTATCGTACTTTTAGTAGTTTAGAGTAGGATAACACATGAATTCTTACTAACTTATCGCTTGCACAGACGGACGAACGAATGGACAGACATTTTTATATATATAACTCTATATCTATCTCGATTAGCTTTAGATAATACAAACAACCGTTTGGTGAACAAAGCTATTATACTCTGTAGTAGAGTTATGTAGTAGAGTTTGCAAAATAATGGCTAGGTAATAATCGCATGTCAGATAAATATTATTGAGCTAATGGGAGCCCGAAATAGACTTGAGGACAGGCAGCGTAAATATATATTATTTAGAAGAAAAACAAACATGAAAAATGTTTAATTAAGCTTATTTTCGATTTCTTACTTACCGTCGGGTAATGTCCCCAGTCCCCACATGATGTTATCTGTTGTGAAGGGAGGAGATAGAAAAGAATACACGGTTCATATTAAAGACCACACTAATTTACAGGCTTAGAATTTAAACATGAAAAACTCTAGTAGTCCTTCAAGTTTGAGAATTTGTAAAAATATATATGTTTATAACGTTTATGTTGATTATATAAGTTACATTGATGCTAAGACTAAGAAAAAAGAAAATTTTCTTAAGAAATACAGACACTATAACTAGGATTTTTTTGAATAGTTATGATGAAAACGCGCTACTCCAAGTATATATATTATTAGCTAGATCTTATATTTGTTAATAATAAATATTTAGTTCTTATATAATTATTACACAATTGAGTTTTTGTGATTTTAAACAATTCCGATCAACATCTTGATTTATTTTAAACGTAATACAAAATTGCGAATCAAAATATATTCCATTAAAAAGCCGAAAATTCCAATCAGAAGTATGCACGGAAATAGTTGTATTTGAAAATGAATTTTTATATCTCTTTTGTAGAGAAACCCGCCGCTAATGAGGCAATGTGATAACATTTGCTTTAAGGATTGATTATTCCAATTTTGGTATAAATGTATTAATACTCGGAATTAGTTACCGTTGTGGAAACACAAATACAAAACGGGTTTATTGCGACACGGCGTATCCGAGACACCTTTGTTACGAATTTGTTAATTGTGAGAAGAAATAATCCATTATTATATTTATATTCAAGGAGAAGAAAGAACTTATTCGGCCTATGTTGTCGGACCGAGTGTCTAAAATGATTAAGCCTTTGAGATCAATGTGTGAATAAATACTCTGGAAATTTTGAAAGTCAGAATATTCGCTTTTCCTTCAATTATACAATACATAACTATTTTCATTACAGGTCCTCGAGAACAGGGTTGCGAATTTTTTGGTTAAAAAATTTTGGCTCTAAAATTAGATTTTCATTTTTTAAATCCAATGTGGGGAGAAAAAAGTAAATTTTAACTTTTAATCCCGATTAAAAATCTAATTTTTGTATCCAAGATGTTTGGGATTAAAAATTGAAAGTTCAAATTTTTTTATATTTAAATGAGGAACGCAAACGCGAAAAAATGTTAATTCTAAATCAAGTTTTTTTTAATTCTTACTTATATGCTTGGGATTAAAATTTCCATTTTTTATTTTTCAATCCGGTAGTTGGAAATAATTTTTTTTTTTTTACTTTTCAATCCAGTATGTGGGAAAAATAAAAATAAAATAAAAAAAATTTAATTCAAGTGTTAAATCAATTATTATTTTAATACATTATTTGCAACCCTGCTCGGGAGTGCTTTATAAGATCAATAATAAAAGTCTGTTAGACTCACTTAAATATAATTAAGAATGTTAGTGTTAGTGAACAAAGTGTTAATCTGTAGGCTATGGTAATTTAATGTAAAATTAAGGCTATGTTTACATTTAAATACATACGATCGGACAAGTACGAGTTCTAACTATAGCGTAAACAGTAATATTTAGTTAATTGATCGTACATCTAGATTTCTTTAGTATTGCAAAAGCAAATGTCATCAGCGCTGAAGTAATGATACTTTTCATACAAACATTTTTCTATTTACTGCGGTATTTCGAAAGGAAACTAAATTCTGGCAAATTATGTAACGTTTTTCGGTAAACCCAAAATCAGCGCGTATCACATTTGCGATGGCACTACTTTCTGCATTAAGACTACATCGTGAAACTAAATTAATAATTGTCTATTATAATTGTTGACTTAAAACTATGCCAGCTACGGCTCCATTGAGTTGTTCGTATCGCCAATCGCTCGTTGGCTTCGACGCAGTTACCGCTACACGTTCTCGAGGTTCGTGCCTAGTGCACGCCCAACGACTGAGTTGTAATTAAATTCTAAAAGACGGTATAAAATTGTATTTAAATTTAAAAGGTTAAGAAAAATTATGCTAGTGGCTAAGTATGTTGCTAAACACGGAATTACACATTGATTATAATACTGTTACGACTCTTCTATGAAGTAATACATTTTTCTTTCGCATATCTAATTAAATATTTTGTAAATATTCATTAATGATTGGAGAGTTACAGAGACGTGAGTGTTTTACAGTTTACGCTAAATGTTGTTTTCACTAAACACACACACATACACACGCACACAACGAAGCAAAAGTGTGGCTATTTGATGCTCAATACGTGTCGCACATGCATTGGCGCTGCAAAGAGAGCCGCCGAAGTACGATGTCACGTATACGCCCCGTAACCAGCACGTTGTTCGCTTGCGTGGCTGTCGCTAAAAAGAACACACTACTAATTGTTACTTTGATAAAAGAACTAAAAATTTAAAGTAACGGAAAAGCTAAATGCATTTTATGATTAAGTAAAAAATGAAATATATGGCAAACATATATGCTTGATATATAAAAAACACACTAAGTGAAGCTACAAACTATGAAGCAAAAACCGAAACGGGACTGGGAGAAAACGAATAAGAAATTGTAAAATAAAACGCCAGTTAAGTCTCATACTACATGTGAATGTTAAGCGACTAGTGCTTTGGACAATTTCTGTACGTAGATAGTGACTGGTCATTTAACTCTTCATGGCGAGCACGTGCCCTTGCTGCTGGCTGCTTTCTCGCACCAACGCCACTGCTGGAGTGCTCGTGAATAACCGGGCCTTCGTTGTTGTGCACCACTTAATTCGCGACCACGGTGCTACGTGTCCTAAGCAATGCCCACACACGTGCTGTTGAGCATTTCCGCTACTGCCTTCACTTATTTTTAAGTTATCATTTGTCGACACGGCTCTTTTAAATTATATAAAGCAATTACAATTTAATTTGGCAAACAAAGTTAAGTGGATAAATGCATGGCATGTTCGCATTCGTTCGTGGTCGATAATTCAACGGAGCTGCTAATGAGACATAACTGCTTTCTTGGCCTGCCGATATAATCATCTTCCAATACAAGCGGGTTTTTTTGATCAGATCACCTTATTACAACTATTTATAAGCACTTACGAAACACGAAAGTATATAAAATAATTGACGCATTTTATAAATGCGCCTTACAAACTACGTCTTGGCATATTTTAGACTTTAACAATATTGGCCCAACTAGTTACAGGATTACATTGAAATTTTTTATATAAATGCTAAACAAAACTAATAATATGCTTCAAAATTTAAATAATTTCTGAGTTGTTATCTATGTGAAAACATACCTAGAACGCATCACTTTCCGTCTACGTATTTGGTTGTGAATTGCTTAAAGATATTTTATTTATAAATTAGGTTGTGTGGCTTTCACGGCTTGCTATGTAAGCCTTTGATATTATTAATCGTAATTTTGACTCGATTTTGCTTACTAAGTACTTATGTTGAATCAATTAAAATTTCTTGGTAGCGACTGAGTTTGGCTACAACTCTACAATTTAAATATGCAATTACCTCTACTCCGTGGTAATTAATTATTATAACTTAATTAAGTTTGCGAACTTTCATTCAAGTTGGCTACTAAACCCCTAATGCATGAATAGTACAAAAATTGGACAATACAAATTTAGCAGTTTCTAGCTACATACTTTTTGTATGTGTGTGTGATTAATAAATCTAGGCCTAACAGTAACATTAGAACTGTTATGTAATTTTAGTATACGTTTACGGGAAAACATTTATGTTCACTTATTTGAAATATCGACTATTTTTTATTATTTTTATTACAATAATCTATAGCTTCTGTTGTTGTGTTCATTGCTAAGCTAATTTGAGCTCAACCGTGTTCGGGTAAAACTTTAGGAGAGCTAACTGTTTTATCAATCCGCTGTACAAGCTCAAATAAGCGATAAACTGCATTTTGCTATGGCCCGGGGTCGATTAGTTTGATACTGGTTGGCAACGCGATATACTTAAAAAGTGATTCGCATCACTATTGCTTTGAATTTCGATCGGCAAAAATTTGGACACCACCTTTGGGGTAATGAGGTGAAGGAAAAAAAAGTGGCGAACAACGAGCACTTTTATTAAAACCAAGTTTTTTTTAATGAGGTATTTGCATACTTTTTTGTACGAATTCAATACGATAAATTTATTGTTGCTTTTCCAAGTAATTCTTTAGACAGGAGAGCAGTTCGATGGCGACTGGTATACAAATTACATCTGAAAGCAACAAAACATTTTAATTGTAATTGTACTTGAGAACTTGAACAGCGGAAAGATGTAAGCATTTCCTTTATTGATTTCATTTTGTATGCGATTTCATCTTGATACATCGGAATGTAAGCAGTTTGGCACTTCCAACAAAAGCCAGAGATGACATTTCCATTTCCTAAGCCTAATAGTTGTATTAATGAGTAATAAAAACGTTGGACGCACATGTACATATATGAGTTCAAAATTGTAAAATATTTAAGATTATAATTTATCTAATATGTTTGCTTGTTTCGTTAGAGAAATTTCCGATAAGTACGAATATTGGCTATATTATATAACTAGTCATTTCATATGTAGTACAGAAGAGCAAGTCTTATTACTAATAATAATGCAGCGCTAGAGCTGCAAATCGATTTCGCGTTTAACCTAAGAATATTACAAGTACATTTTGGCTAAATGCTAGCGAATATTTATTTAAAAATATATATTTATATATATACTTAGTTGTGTCTGTGTGGGTGTATGCATAATCACTCTCTAAAGTTGTAGCTGAAAGTTATGCATGTGTATGTGATTGTGTATGTGTATTCCGATTATTTAATTGTATGAGTTGCACAAAGAGAGCGCCATTGTCATATTATTAGGTACCCATCGGTGCATTATTGAGGGAAATTTCCTGCAGTATCAATCATCGAACTAGTCAGAAATTTTAACACAGCCTTTAGTGCAGCCTAAAATCCAGGTCTGCAGACAAGTTATAGAAGAGGTTATTGCATATGACATGTAGATTATGCCATAATTGAACTATAATAGTTTGTGCATATTTTGAACTGGTATGGGACTCTGACAGAAATCTGGCATTTGCCATCTCATACGGTACCAGTTGATTAGCTAGTTGCACATGAGGTTCATGTTAAAATAGTTTATACCTAATTGATTTTACTGCAGAATATCTTTACTTCAATATATAACATATGAATGTGTGCGCATATACATACATGTATATAGATGCACATATATTTATATATTACACATATGTATGCGCACTCATTTGTGAATTCTTTTGACATGTTGTGAGTTGTCAAATTGACAGGTCGTTTCCGTGTTATGCAACTTCACTGCGCATTATTGCAACAAGGCCAAAAAATAATTTAATACCGTTAATTGTATTCAATTAATACAAAGTGTAAAATGTCATTCACTTGGGAAATTTCACAATTTAATGGAATGTTGCGCCCCGCCATATGTGTCGTCTGTATGTATTTCTCGCGCCCAACAACTATTCAACCGCGAAAAGGCGCCTGCTATTGAAACACAAACATAGCACCGTTAAAGCGAGTGCGTGTAGTTACACCTCGAGCAATTCTTTACTGTGGCCGCGGCAGCTGGGTTATGACTGCCGTTGGTGGTCAGATGCCGAGCGTATTGGCGCCCGGCAGCTGATAAAGTGTGGCTGTGGTTGGCATTTCCAGGCCTTGCACTGAGAGTAAATCGCTTAATGGATAGCCGAGGGAGGCGGCTGCAGTCGCCGCTGGCGTTGGACGTACTTGTGTTGCTGTTGGCGGGGCCAAATGACCCACCGCAGCTGGAGCGCGTAGGCCGCCGACTGCGGCAGCTGCCAGCAGGCGTTTATAGCCAACAATGGCGGCAGCATCGTACAATGAAGCTGCCTGTGGGTTGGTTGCCGCCGCTGCAGCGGCGTACTGCAGTAATGAGGGTGCAGCCGCCGATTGTTGAACAGTTGCTGGGTTAGCCGAGAGTGGTATTAGAGTGTGTGTAGCGCCGGCGGTGGCTGCTGCAACCGCATTGGCTAACGTTTGTTGTTGCTGAGCAGCGGCTGCCGCCACCACAGCAGCTTGCTGTTGTTGCTGTTGGTGTTGTTGTTGTTGCTGCTGCTGGTGGTGGTGATTGGCAGCGGCTGCAGCAGCGGCCGCAGCAGCCGCCGAAAAGTGTGTCGGTATGGAATATGGTGTGTAGCGTAACGAGGTGGATGCTGGGGGCGCACCAGCGCCAGCGCCCACGCTTGAGCCGCCGAAAATGCCGGCATGCGGATGTGCCGGATGGTGATGATGATGGTGGTGGTGGTGAGCGCCTGAGCTGGTGGCAGCCGCAGCGCCGGCAATATTGTGGTGTGTCGCAGTGGCAAATGTACTACTGATTAGACCGCCACCGTTGGCATTACCGCCCCAAACTACCAACTCACCGTATGCAGAGCGACCTGCAGCGCGCGTCTTGGCCAAGTTGGCCGGCAGCATGACTTCTTTTGGTTGCGCCTTCTTGCATTCGACCTAAAAATAACCAAATAAGCAACATCAGAATTTTTTCATGAAAGTTTGGTCAAATTTGGTGGTTCTATCAAAGAAAAGAGCGGGCCATCTTGATAGTACCAAGATGGCCGAAACAAGTTAATGAAAATATGTGAGCACTCACCATTTTGTTGTTGATCTCATGGAAATGAATTTCACAAACTTTATCTACCACATCCTCACTCTGAAATGTAACGAAGCCAAAACCTGAAAGAGAAACGGAAAGTGCACAAATTAATAAATTAAATTACTAAATATTAAGACTACAAAGTTGTCGACAGTGCAAAAATAGCAGTTCGGCATTAAGTATGAAGAGGAATCAAAGATATACAACTCGCATCTGTGAATTGAAAGCTATCGTGGAAGCGGCTGCAAAGCATTCCTTCAGCCCGACAACGCCCAACTGTTGAAGCCTTCTGCTTCTTGGTTGCATGGTCGTTGGGAATTCACAATTCGACCAAAGTCGGTCGGCCGGAGCTTTTGTGGGCTGTGGTTTGTAAAATGTTGAGTTATCGCTAACGTCTTCTGTGGGCAGTGAAGAGGATCTCAGGGCCAAGCCTTGAAGAAAGTTTTCCCCTGCTTCAAGGCTCCATTTGCGTCTTTTTCATTGAATCAACAGCAAACCACAATCGCAGCAACTGAGCCATTAACTCTTGCACTTATGAATTCATCATGACGAAACGAGCAAATTCAGTGATTCTACCGGCCAGAAAAATTGAGCCGGAAACTTCAGTCGGAAGTGGCGAACATTGAAGTGAGTCTGCCTGGTTTATAAGCATGTATAGGTGTACGAATATTTATATGGAAAGACGCCGTAACAATTTATATATACAATTTTCATGTGCGAATAGTGCTCAAATAGAAACTATGTTTAGAGCTTCAGATGGTCAATTCGGTATTATCGATGACTATATTGAGTTTGTTATTAAAATTCGTGGGTTCGTGAGACAAACTTCGGGTTCTGTGAAAACCAAATAGGTATTGAAGAGTTTCCATAGGAAAGGCTTTCATTGTTATTGCTTAGGGGCGATCTTCTAGCCTTTATTATTTAAGTTTTCGAATTAAATTAAATCAAATGAGATATATGTTATATAAACTCAAACAAAGGGGCTAAATTTAGTATATCGGGAATATAAGGAAAAACTCAACCCGAGAATCGGATATCTCTATATTAGTGATATGCTCCAAAGACCAAGATCCATACAGATTTCATTCATATTCATCTCTGATTAATATTAGCTTTAAAAAACATAACCACTTAACTCCATTAAAATATCGCACATATTGACTAATGTACACGGTATAAAGCCAACCGGAAGTTTAAAATTCAAACATTATAGGTATTGTGTAAACACACATTCAGGGCTAGGGGAACTATATACCCGACTTTATCCAATTTGCATGCCAGGGAAATATATTATCAGCAAAATATTATAAGCTGAATTTCATTAATATACCTCACAAAGTGGCCTCATTTACGGTATTAAGTCAGCCGGATATTAATTCCTTGTGGACTTGAAAAGTTATGATTCGATTTCGACCTAACGTCTATGTATAAAATCAATGAATAATCGCTTACTGCATTTTATCAATGCAGAATATATTTTTGTATGCATGCGTATTGCAATATAAGTGCATATAATTTTATGTTTGTTTTTGTCTATATTTGAACAGTCTAGGATACCTCAAGAGCACTACTTTTGGAAAGTTTTATTCTGATATCTTCACTGGAGCTCGATTTTTATATTATAAAGTGAAATAATCATATGGAATTTAAACTCCGCGAAGGGTTTTCTCGATTGACACACTGTAATGTAAGGGTGCCAGGATAAAGTTAAGCGTAAAATTTTGAATGAAATTATTCGCGTAGTCCCTGAGACATAGGATTTCCTCTAAAAATGGTTGGTGCTATGCCAATAGTCCAATTTTTACAATGATTTCAATATAAACCCTCTGTGGCATCATCATTTAATGCTTCGGACATGTTTATTTAGTGGGTTAATATTCAGTAATTTCCATTGTAATAACTGTCAAATAAATAGAGGGCGTGACTATCATCCCATTTCATTTATTTTCACACTCTATGCAGAGGTTCTAGAAGGACTTGTATTCCACGAGTTTGATTAATATAGCTTCAGTACTTTGTGAGATATCTATCACATTAAACTTATTAGACAATGAGACAACGTCCACTTTTATAAAATTTAAACCGCAAATGCTTTGGTTTATTTGTAGTATTTTAAAGGGTTTTGGTTACCGCCGTTTTTTGGTCGTGAAATTATAAAAACATTAAAGATGTAATTTGATATGCAACTTTTTATGCTAAATCTAAATTTTTGAGAAGTGAAGAAGTTTGGTTTAAGTTTTGCTCGCCTTCTCTGGTTGCATTTCCCACAAAGGCAATTGTAGTTATAAATTATCGGTTTATTGATTGCATTTATGTTTTTAGAAATTTGCAATTGCAAACAAAGCTTTGCCATTTATAATTAAGCCCGCATGCAGGTGTGATTCTTCCCGTGCGTGTAATTAACTAAGAATTTGCTTTTTATTTGCACAGACCACCCATTGTGCCTTCTTTGATTTATCACCGTTACCAAGTTTGGACACGTTTAAGTGGCGGCGGCGGGAGTTGGGCGAGGTAAAACAGTTAGGTAAGATTACTCTTTAGAGTGTCGTTCAAAGTTTTCTTCATTGATGTATACGTGTATACATAAAGAAAATCTTTTTATCCTTCGTCATTTCTGTAATTTAATTTCCAAGAATACGGTATTTTTAATTTCAGCACTGTTTGTGGTTTTGATGTAAATAACGCAATAAGTAAAATTAATATCGCAATATAATGCTGTACTAAGGCTTTGCTAGCAGCGCAGATTAAGTGCCACCGTAGCAGCGTGGCGTCCACAAACCTGGTCGACAGACTAGTAAAAAGTAAGTTTGATATTGCCATAATCCAGGAACCCAGCATCTTTGCCTACAAATGTTTTATGCCAACGGCAGGGCCAGGCAAAGGACCGGCATACTATGCAAAAACAATACCACTTCTTTTTCTTAGCAGAAAGGTCGACACTTGGTGGCACTGTAGTTGCCCTGACTCCCCATCTCCGCCCCCCCACGAGTACGTCAAAGGAAAATCGAGTAATACCGCCCTACATGAGGTAGTTAAGACAATCGAAAGTTCCTTAGAAAAACGAGAATTCACTCTAGCGACATAGCCGCTAGCACGGCTGCACTGATATCGGCTATCGCTTCTTTAAAAAGGGCCCATCAGATCTCCGCCAACTGGGCGGAGTGTCAAGGACTAACTGTTAATTGGTAGATAACAAATATCTGTCTTTTCACAAGAAGAACGAAACCCTCACAATTCAATCTTCCATCTTTAAAGGGTAGGACTATTGTACTCTCTAGCTCTGCCAAATATCTCGGAGTTATCGTAGATCAAGAACTAAAGTGGAGAGAACACATTGAGAGCAGGGATTCCAAATCACTTTGAATCTGGAGCTTCTACCGAAGAGCCATTGCTTAAATATGGGGTTTGTGACCCCACTTACTTATGGCTCTACTTATACAAGTGTTATCTGCCCAATGAACAGGTGCAACGGGTATACTTACTGAGGATTATGGGCGTAATGAACACTACCTCAACAAAGGCTCTGAAGGTTGTAGCCTCATTTCTATGCGTATTGGCCGGATGTCGGCTCATGATTTTAGGTAATTGAAGCTATTCCAGGCGTCATTGTGGGCATGGTATTATACTCGATCTTGCTAATGAATTCGTGTTGAGCTGGCATTGGGATCGAGTAAAGGTGACCCACGAGAAACTAGTAGTAATCCATACACAGAAGACAGTTACAAACTTAATTACTACAATTCAGTCTTTCAGGCTTTCTTTGTGGATATAACATAAGGCACCAAGTAGGCTTCTGCTCTAACCAGCATCCATAAACATTCTAGAAAAGAAGGAAATGAAAAAGCAGACGAGCTGGAACGCTCGGAGGCAGCCGGTGACACAACTCAGCTCAACTGCGCCAAGCCATTCAGCTCCGGCTAGGGTTGTTTGTAGCAATGAACTTTAGAGGAACAACTCAGGTCTTGGAACACAAGCAACACAGGGCATACCACAAAGTTAGTTTAGGGTAGTGTTGATTGTGGATAGATAAAAGAGCTCCTACTTCTAGGCAAAAGGTAGCTTAGTAACATTGAAGTGGTCATCACAAGCCACCTACCCTTAAGATCTCAACGTTAAGATATGGAAAAATGCATTCGGTAAAATGTAGAGCATGCGCGGAGGATTATGCGATGATGGGACATATTCCACGGCATCCCATACTCCAACGTAAGAGACATTGGGCAGTTAGGGTGGAAAGGAATCAATCAGATTTTTTATCAAATCCACTGAGTTGTAATAAAAGTTGTATATAGTCGGCATGTGCGGCCCATATTCCATGCATGCCATGTTTGCCTGCTTGTTGAGCAAATTAGGGATTGACTTCATCGAGAATCAGCTATTGTTATAATATGTTTATTTTTTACAGGTTTATCGTGAAATAGGATGCTAGATCGACTAACAGACCAAGGCAGTCTTTCAATATATTTGATGAAACCCAAGTAGACTTTAATAATTTCAAACCTGCTTGGCTATCTGTATATAAAAATATTTCTTGTTGTGAGCACACTCTTTGTCAAAACAAGAAGGTTTTTTTTTTAATTTCGTGATCTCCTCTTGGTCTGCAGTGGTCTGGTAGACGGAAAGCGATTTTTTGTATCTAATTTTTCTAAAAAGAACCCACCTCCCACTCGATTATCTGGTTTGAACACATCCTTATACATGCCTATCCCTGTGTCCCTGTCAACCTCACCCTTTCCCCACTATCCCCTGGAAGGGAAGGCAATATTGGAGACCGAATTTAAGTTCAATTCAAAGAGCCTATAAACGCAAAAATACATTATATGAACTGTTATTTCTCTCTAGGTAATGTAAGGATTTCTTCGAAGAATTGGAGAGACATAAAAACTACCTCTATTGTTTTACACTCTGAACCTTTTTCATCTTGAATGACTTCATTCATACACTCTATAGCTTGGAAATGCCATATATTAATTTTTGGTCGCATGTGCAATATTTGTAAGATATTGTTTTGACGATTTAACTGATGGTACTCTAGTGAAAAAGGTAAGTGGAGACTGTATTTTATTTAAAAAAAATTACT